ATAATCTCTCTCTCAAGAGTGTTCGTAAGAATAATCTAAACTAGTAATAGTGTTCATAGAGATAAATTGGGGTCAATAAAAACTAATATTTGTTTAATACTCTCAACATCTACCCTCACTTTTCCCTTTCCCGCTCTTCTTATCGGGGCGACGAGGTCAATTCAAACTAATGTGAGTTTAATCTCAACATCATTTCCATCACGTGTTGTTCTCTATAGGCTGGAAGATAAAAGTGTTATATGAGATGAATAGTAGTGAAGAGGTAAGTGGAGATAGGAGTTAAGAGTACTAAACGGGTATTAGCTTCATTGCATTCATATTATTCTCGTGAAGATCATTGCTAGTTCGGATTATTTTTATGAACAATCTCAATAAGGAGTATTAGGAGTATTATCGTAGAATACCTGAAAGTAGAGATTATTCTTATGAATTTCACCAATTTTCAATGAACGTAATAGTGATGTTTTGGGACTTTTTGGCCAAATATTTTGTGCAAAGGCTTTCCTCCTCTAAAACAGTTTCACGTGATTTCTTCTTTCTAAATAAATAGTTAGATCTCTCTTAAAGAGAAAGTTAGGAAACATCCTTTTCTCAACAAGTTATGTCTAACACACTGAATAATAAATCAAATGTATGAATAATGAAGGAGAAGATATATTTATACTAATTCTAAACTAGTATCTCAGTCACAATGAAAGTTTTTCTCGTTAGTGAGTTTTGGTCTTACCAGGATACTCATTGATGAGTTCTGTCCTAACACGATCGATACTTATATTAAACAAATAAACAAAATAATAAGAAGGTGGGAGCTAGGATGGCTCAAGCCACTCTCTTCCTCTCTTCATAAATATTTATGTTCATAGTTTCTTTTTCATTCTAAATTTTAAAAGAAAATACCATCTATATTTAATTAAAAATTCATGTTGATTAAGTTTTATAAATCTAATAATCAAATAAACCAGACCAACGTTGGCGTCCTAATCCGGAGCGAGAGTCTCTCTCTAGAACTTTGGTCCTCCCTAGGGCTCAGCCTCTAGGGTTTTTTCTGATTTTGTTTCCTTTAATGAAGATCGGTAGTCTCAAGCAGCGAAGAAGGTGCAGACGGAGTAAACCCAGCCCGCGGTGGAGGTTTAGATCGGAAAGCTTGCTATATGGACGATATTGTCAATTCGTACAAGATGTCAATGGAGGATCAAGACAACGAGCTTAATTTCGATGAGGAGATAGAGGAGGGCGGCGAGGAGGAGATGGAACCGACAGGCTTTCCGGTGGTTGGGGTTGTCACAGATCGCAAGGTCAAGCTACCGGGGTTCCAAGAGTTGATGACTTCAATTTGGAAACCAGGGAAAAGTATGTCTATCAAAGAAATTGGCAAACGAAGGTATCTGCTAAACTTTAATCATGTTTTGGATATGAACCGTGTACTTGAGGATGACCCTTAGCTTTTTTAGCGTGATTTAATACTGTTGAAAGCTGTTCAGCCAGATGATATTCCTGAATCGATAAATTTATTTGAGGCTAGTTTTTGGGTTCAGGTTCATAATGCCCCTATAAAGTATACAAATTTGAGATCTGCCAGAAAAATTGGTAATTTTTTAGGCTCTTTTATTAAATTTGAGATGAGCCAATATGATGGAAAGCAAAGTTCTTATTTGCGTATAAGGGTGTGTCTGCCAAATCAGTTGACTTAGCCATGGCATAAGCTGCCATAGCCTTTTCTTTTATAGGTGGAACCAAATGATCATAGAGATCATACACCCTGGCCAGATTGATAAAAAAGGGTAGCCCAAGAATGATATAGCGCCTGCTCATTATCTAATATCACTGGAACAAGGGATTTAACATTAGTGACAATCAGATAAATTTTTCTCTAAATAGGAATAGGGAAATGAGAAGTAAAACCATATCTGTTGAAGGAAGTTACCCAACTACTTGCTTATCCCGTGAGAACTCTAAGAGTTCTAGCCTAACTTAATTTATAGTTCTTTTTTAGCAGTCTACAAATCAACAAAAGATAGAAATATATCATCAATTAATATAATTTATAAAAAAAATATGAAAATTGAGTATTCTAAGAGAAAAACGACAAAACATATCAGTTTAGATACCATCAACTATGATTTACTAATTGGAAAACGGAAAAAGAGAGGCGATGCTATTACTATGACTGCTGCGAGGAGATGTACTCTTGAAAGCTGGCCGAATTGAAAGAGAGAGAAGAGATGACATGAAGACAAAAGAAATCCAAAGCAGCGTGCGGCTGAAAATATTTGAAGGCAGCTTTACCGCTTGATAAGGTGTATTCTTTGTGTGCGTGTAAAATTACACTTAGGATGTAGAGCGGGCGAGTTTTCACACTCATACTCTGATACTCACATGTAATGCTTTTAGGTATATATATTAAAGGAATATACTCTTAATTTTTGTTTAAGTTTCGATTCTCTGAATCGCTGACCATTAAGAGAGCAATTTTAGTTTTAACAGAGTTGTAAAATGCTAAACTATCATGAGGTTGATTACTGCTTTTGTTTTAAATTATTTTCTCTTAATTGCTGATCATTAAGAAAAGAGGTTTTAGCAATAATGGGATAATAAAGTGCTAAACTATTACTCGACTCCTACTTTTGTTTTAAATCTACAAACAAACGCCACAAGAAGTGCAAAACAGAGGAACAAAAAATACTGCTTTGTTTTACAGTTCTTTATTCATCTTTCCATGCCCTAACTTTTTTACTTCAACAACATTGCTATTCAATGCAAAAAATGAAAAAGAAAGACAATGACTTGTCTGACTTCTATGTAAATACACTGTCATATTTTTAGAATTTTAGGTATAAAAACTCTAAACATTTTAAAATAGAAGTCCATTTGATGAGCATTTCATAAATAACTCTGTATTAAGGATGCCCAATAGCCCAACAACCAATACGATTTGAGATTGTAGCATTATGCAGGAAACAAATTACATAAAAAGTCACAATTTTTTATTTGGACATCATACCTAAAGTCATGGCATCATGCTAAAGGGAAAGCAAACCAGGCATCCTATAATCAAATTCTTTTTCCATTTTATTGTCTCTTAAGATAGAAATTTTTCTCATCAAGAGAACAATTTGTTTGTCCACATCTCTCAAGCCACATGTGTAAGAATGGGTATGCTGATGGTCATTTCCTCCCAGGCTCCAATATATTCTTTTCTTTAAGAAATTTATCTGGGACATACAGTGAAGCCTCTGGACAGCAACATTCAATGGAAAAGCCTATCTGTGACAGAATCTGCAATTAATAGTAACAACATATTTGTTTTGAAATTTTAAGAGGCATCCTTTTATCCTCTCCCAAAAGTCATCACAAATACGATAGTAGACTCTTAATAATTGACCTCGTGAAGATGATTAAATCTGTTGAATGCAGAAGGTACACATATATTTTATTGCATAAATATTACCCCTTCCGGCATTCAATAATGCTCTTACCAAACTCTTGCTGATCAAGATTTAAACATTCTCTTGACCTTTTCTCCTCCTTGGATCCATTGGCATGTAATCAGCCAATCATGTAGTGAGCTCTTTTAATCTTCTCTAGTATGTCATGGTCGCATTGGATTAAAAGAGTCTACAAAACAATCAAATTAAATGGTTTGATTAAAAAAATAGTATTTCTTGACCCAAAAAAAATACTGAAAAAATAGTAAAATAACACTACAATTCACGTTCAAAGAAAATAAAAAATCAAAATCAATCACTAAACTTACCGGGTTCATGTGAAATTGATTCTTTCTCCTTTGATTCACGAAGTTGGGCGACTCCCTCCGAATAGATTTAGGTGTTGTCCTGAAGTTTGAAGAAGGGGTGGCAACGAAGAAGAGATGCTTAAGTGGCCTTACCGACCTCAGAGAAGGTGATGGAATCGTCGCTACCACCTTGCAGCCTTCTTCTCCTTGAACCCTTGCAACGACAGATCGGGGGTAGAAGCGATGAAGGGAAATACACAAAGAATGAAGGAAAGAGATAGGTGATTAGGTGATACGGAGTATATCGGATAGGGGGTTTTAATTTTAAGTGAATGGCATAGATCATTTCTAAATGAACGGTGGAGATGGATTTGTATCGCTATTAAGTATAAGGATTATGGTCACATGTCCTAAGACTTAATTTCTTGGCCAGCTACGTGGTTGCTACGTGTCCTTCTAAGAAGGTTAAGTTGGCATGCGTTTACTCTTATATAAATTGTGCCTAAAACACAAGTCTGATTTTTGCATGGTGAACAAGAAGAAAAATATTTAAAACATGTGTGAATTGGTGCTCTAGCAACGTGGATGAATAGATTGACTCGATCAAGCATTGTCAATTATAAATGTTTTAATTAGCATAATTCTACCTTTTGCAAAACTAGGCCCTCATGCGTCCTTAATTTTTAGAAAATGAAAGTGAATAATGAAATGCAGATTATGCCATTTCTACCATACTTTCTCTTTGGAAAGGAATGAAGTGGTAAAATATATATTGAGTAATACTTAAAGATATATTTATATAAATTATTCTCATGTTATAATATTATTCCCAAACAAATTGGTAGAAAAATTATATTTATGAATTTTAAATCCTTAACCTCCTTTTTTAAAACACATTTTCATATTGAATATCAGCTATCTTTATGACCCCAATTTCTTTAGAAACAACTTATCATTTTGAGTATTTCTATCTTTGTGACGAAATAACTTTGTATGATATCATCTATACCGTTTGTTTTTAATAGATGTTACATGCAGTATATATGGTAAATAAAGTAAATGTTATAAATATTTGTTTTAAATCCTTATACTTATATTCTCATGTACTAACCACAATTTATTAAGAAACAAATTATAATTTTGAGTATTTCTATCTTTATGACGAAATAACTTTGTATGATATCAGCTAGACCGTTTTTTTAGATGTTATATTGCATGCAGTATGGTAAATAAAGTAATTGTTCTACTATTGCTCAAAAGCGGACAAGTTAAACATAATTGTGCATAATATCAAATAAAAATTTCACAAGTGTACATTCTTATGAGAAATATTGTTTTATGTGAATTGCACAACATACAAACACTCACTTATATATAATGAAATTTGACGTTTGTGCCTACAAGCATTAATAATTCTACATTGCATTAAAATGAGATAAGGTCTGCCAGCTCGGTGTCCATGTGATTGTAAGAGGATTTACTATATACTATCGTAACACACTAGTATTTGATAAGTAGTAATGTAAATATAAATTAATAGGTGCAAAAATATGTAATTGAGATTTGATCCTTAAACAACACACTCTGGTGGAGGGTTGGAGAATCTTGAAAGATCCGCACAATAATCATAGTTCATGTATTTGTGTCTAACTTGAGTGTAAGTTGTTTGTTGAGTATCATTTAACGTCCAGAACGGGTTTTGGTTCCACCAGTATGTAAGCGAGGAGCAATGGTCAATACTAGAACTTAGATTATTATCTGCTTGGCAAGCATCCACATTGAAGCCTTGAAACTCGGCTTTAAACGGTGAGTGTGTCCAGATTATCTTGGATCTCCCCCCATCCGTCGCCCAACTCTCTCCATTCCATAGGCTGCATTCAATTTGCATAGGATGTGATGATGGGTATTCCACTCCAATCTTGGCATTATTCTTGAACACTCTGATTGGTGTATTATCTACATAAAATCTACATGTCCAAACCAAGTCTTATAAATAAATATGATGATTTTAATATTCACTGTAATTAGTAATAATGCATTTTTCTAAAATAATAATCCATAATCGTTGTATATTTTAAGAAGTATTACACAATCTCAAACGATAATTAAGTCGGTTTTTCATTTTAAATAATAATTTAATGTGTCAAATCCCCCTTTACTATATAAATTATGTACAATAACTCATTGTAATTTAAAAATGTGTCAAACTTTTTGTGCTTTGTAATTAATCATATGCCTAGTATCCTAATGGGTGTCTTAATTTGTAAAAGGGTTAATTAATCATGTGCATTAAAACTTTGTTTGTAAACAAAAGATCAAAAGATGCATACATGTACTACCCTAGCGGGTAAACCAAGCATTTCAGCTCAGCTGGTTGTGAGGTTACCGTGCGTAGTGAGAGGTCTCGAGTTCGAAACCTGCTAGGCACATAAGGGTTCGAAACTCATTGGAGGGATATGCATAATGATTGCATGCAAACGATGAGTAATACCTTATACAAGTGCCATTTGGCACGTCATCGCTCATGAGATACCGTTGTATTAGAATTAACTTGCACGTTTTTATTCTTGTTAATAAAACGATGACCGTTTGTTATGCTTTCAACTATTATTTCTCTTCATGTATTTCTTCGTAAACTTCTCATACTTCAGCTGTTAAATTTCATTAAGTCTATCCAAGTTGAGACATGGCCTTGAAATTCTTCATAACTAGATATCAAAGTTATACTTTTTGTATGCCCTTTGTTGTTAGCCGTGAGAGAATAATTTTTGGCACTTGTTACATTTAAAGGTCATTTTTTTTTCTATTTTTACAAAATATGTTTCTATTTGAGTTGAAGTTTAGTATATTTATAATTGCTATGAATTAAAATAAAATTATCTCTTGAGTTAAGTTGAAGTTTATTATACTTATAATTGCTATGAATTAAAATAAAATTATTTCTTGAGCTACATTATAATGAATACATATCCATTTGCAATAGTTGATACTGCACCATTAGAAACACCGGTATGTATGCAAAGTTATGCATATATAGCTGAACCTGTTAAGACATGGGGTTCCATCCTAAAAGGTCAACCTGATAGGAGGAGTAGCCCAAAGCCTTATATAATGTTTAATTGTTTTTATAGCTTTCCGGTGTGGGACAAATGCTTCAACACGCCCCCTCAGCCCGAACCGGGCTGGACAATATCGGGGTGTATAAACGGGCCAAACAAACCCTTAACAAGCTACCCTTAATCATGGGTGCTAAACAAGCCGTCAAACCACAACCAGAATTGGCTCTGATACCATGTTAAGACATGGGGTTCCATCCTAAAAGGTCAACCTGATAGGAGGAGTAGCCCAAAGCCTTATATAATGTTTAATTGTTTTTATAGCTTTCCGGTGTGGGACAAATGCTTCAACAGAACCAATAAAATAAAAGGCGAGTATATAAAATATGAAGAAATAATTATATAACTAGTTCCGTTCACAAACATTATAGTATACTCGGAAACAAGCTTTATTATTTATCATGTTTCATCGAAAAGTGTTATAATTGATATAATGGCTTGATACGTAGACTACATAGTTACCTCTCAACTAATTTCCATTCTAACTCTAATCTTCATAATCACAATAATTAATTAAATACGTGTTTTCATTCTTATTTTTACCATTGACTTTAACTTTGAACATGATTTATGATTTAATCAAGACATTCACATTTTATAGAATAACTTACTTTAGACACTTATAGTGCAAATGAGAAAATAATATGTTTGCAAGATTCATTCTGTATAGTATACTAAGAAAATATATTTGGAAGATTAATTAATACAATTTAATTATTTAATTTTAACATTGAATATATATGATTTACAAACTGAAACTTCCTGCAAATAATAAAATTCACCATTCTTGTTGAAGACATATTAGTTGTCTCCGGCAAAAAGAAAAGTAGTGTTTCAATGGTAAGTTATTTGCTCTAAATATGCGAGAAAAACACTTGAATCAACCATTAGATGAGCTTATATTCCAACACACTTTAGCTGGTTTTTGGATGTTATTCCATTCATTCTTTTCATCATTAAACCCTTTTTGTTATATATTATGCTTTCCACGATATAATGAATAAATAGCAAGAACAATGAAAAAACAAACAAATGGGAGCTTACACGACTTGATGCTGGTTCCAAAGGATTTGGTAAGAATGAAAATCAGCTGAGGGATCAAACCAGAGAATAATCCTTTCCTCCCTATTCCCAATGCCCTCCGTGATGACATTAGTCTGCAAGGTAATTGGTTTGCCTTCTCGGTTGCCCAAGAACTCGAAATCTAGCTCGTCATGACGACCATTTTCCGTATTTGATGTTAACTGCACCAATGACTGGCCATTTAGGTATTTATATATCAAAACTTTTTATTTTATTACTTTATTTAGTTCATTCCATCAATCTTATCACCGTCCTATTAAAGTGTTTTTCGGAATAAGTATAAAAGTACTTTTTATTATTTTTAAACAAACTAGAGCATTAAATTCTGAAGCCAATTGTAAAAATTTAAAGAACATGTTTTAGAAAAATTGTATATGATCAATCTATTAATTAGTAAATCAAAAAATACACCACAAAAATATATTTAATATTGATCACACGTGATAAGTATTGTTAAATAATTGTTAGTTAAATATGCATCAAATAAGAAACCAATCCATATAAAATGAATATAACTCTCAAATTAATTCAACCCATGACCATGACATTTGTTGATGTATGTATCTCAACTAGAAAAATATGAACTCTTAAATAACTATCTAAGTTCACATGTAACTTCTCTTATTAAATAAGCCTTGTAAAATAAGATTTCAAGTTTAAATATTGCACCATAGACAATTCAATTCATAACAATGGCGTAAGTCGTATTAAGTTCCTTTAAAAAAAATGGTGTGAGTCGTATTAAAATGATTAATGATAATGGATGGATGTTGGCACAATCAGACAAAATGTCTAATCATGAGTTGAGGTGCTGAAGTATTTATTATTATTTTCCTCAAGGGGACAACTTGAGGGGAATAATAAATTATATATTTATAAGTACTTATCTTTTTTATATTTACCTCTTTTTATTCCTCAATATAAACATTTAAAATATGTATCCCACAAAGGTAATTATGAACTATTAAAATACTATATAAGATTATGTGTAAATCCTCCTATCAAGTTGATATTTTAGGATGAAATTAACTCTTAATAATATATGTGGGTCCATTAAAATAATGGTGCACGCAAGCCTCTCTAGAGAGATACTCCGTATTTAAGATCGAATCTATCTTACATCAAATTATACTACGTATGACATAAGCCAAAACTTAACAATTTTATTGTAATGCTTTAAATATGTACTTTAATAATACGGAGTATATGTTTTTCTATATTATACTAAAATAGATTAACTTAAAAGATGTAAATTATATAACAATTAAGATCAGTTCATGATAACACTGAGGGCTTATTTAATTTAAATCTGCTTGCATGGGTGACAAAATTGGACGTATTTTTTAGTTATTATGATATTATTTTTTAAACTTTAAAAATATTATTAATTGTATAAAAATAGACTATATGATCAAAAGTTAGACATGTGATCCATACTCAATAAATATATATCACATAATCTTCTTAATTTTTTTTATTGAAGAACCCACTAAAAATCGAGTGAGTATGGTGATGCCACGTGAACCCATATGACTCCGTGAGTGATTCATACGGGCTCCATAAAAGTGCTAGTACAACAACAATATCACTCCGTAATACTATCGTATATTGCATGTACCATCTTTGATATTAGCGCAGTGTCCAACTTTGATGACAAAGTTAGTACTACTTCCTTAACTTAAAAACCTTCTGTTGGATCGATTCACCCCTTGTCGACAAACTTCCCAGTGGGTCACTCATCCCTGGGCTTTCTTACCCCGGGCTCGCTTAACTCCAGAGTTCTGTGGTTAAATAGCAGCCATATCTTTCTTAAAACCAATTGGTGATAAGGAAGTGGACACCCTCTATTTAACCCATTACTCTGTAGTCCCCAAGTCAAGGTAGATTCCTGTGGGGCACCCCCCACAGTTCACTACGGCAGTGCAGAGCCCCACTACTGAGCGGTGGATGGACATGAGGGGCTGCACCACTTTGTGGTGCCAACAGGTTGGGCGGTTAAGCCCTGAATCAAAGGGTGGTGCTGATCTCCCATTAGACCAACACCTTCCCATTTCAAAAGTAGGTAGATTAAGAATAGTGAAAGAGGATATGAATTATTGAGGGTATAATGGGAAGATAGTGGAATAATGTGATGGAATGGAGGATAAATCCAAAAAAAGTAGTTGTAATAGTGTATTATTTTGAGAATTATTGAGGGTATGATGGAAAGATTTAGAAATGAGAAGATTTTTTTGTTACGGATGAAAAAGGAAAGTGAGAAAATTTTTATGTTACGGAGGGAGTAGTAAGCTAGTAGCACCTGTGCATTGTCAACATCATATTTGAATTGTATTTAACATCCACTCTTAATATTGACAAAACAGTTGTGGTGTACACGCCCAAGCATGTATTCATGCTCAAGTTATCTGTGTCAATAGATAACTTTCATTTTTTGTGTTTTAAATGAAGTGTCTGTGTACACTGCACGTGTAGAATAGGGAGAGCATACGCCAAACATGTACAAATAATGTGTACAAAAGGAATTTTCCGATCCTAATAATGATATGCGATAAAACACTGTGTTGGGATATATTATCCCGGCCTATTACTGTTCAGGAGCCCAGGACATCATCCAGTACGGAGCCCGAGCAGCTAGGCCCATTTCGGCCCATTAGGCCCAATATTGGCCCGTTCGGCCCATTAGGGTGGAGAGCACCCTTCCCCTTTCCCCTATAAATATGAGGCTTCCCTCCATGTTTTGGGGATCCTCTTTTAGCTTCATCTCCTTCCTTTCTTTTAGACTTAGCTCAATACTCCATTAATGGGAACTTGTACAATGTAATTGTGAGGAGAGTCCTAATGAGAAAGAGAGGGCTTGGACATTAGACTAAAAAGTCCCGTGGTTTTCTCCCTTTCGGGTTTCCACGTAAAAACTGAGTTGTTCATACACATTTATACATATATTTACTATATCGTGTTGGATTAAACTCAACACTGGCGCCGTCTGTGGGAATCTGTCCAAAAAGATTCACGTATTCTACTGTTCTTGAGTCTCTACGACAAAAATTCATACGAAAGAAACTGATACAACAAAAAAGAAGGAAAGTTGTTTGGAAGAGTTGGTTTCCAGCAAAGAAAAAAGAAATGAAATGATTCTGAGGAAGGGAAGAAGAAGCTAGGAAGCTACGAAAATCTGGAAAGCCAAATATGAATTTTTTCCAGATCTATTTTTGAGGTCACCGGAGCCGTCGCAACCATCCCCGCCGCGGTGGACCTCCGGTGAAGTCAGTTGCGCCAGACGAAGCTCGCTGCAGCACCCCAGCTGTTTCAGGCGGCCACCACCTCAGTCGCACACCACCGCTCGTCATCAGCGACATGGAGCTGACGCAACCTGAAGGAAATTCCGCCATTAATGGCGGCTTGAAGCTTAGGGAAGGTACACCTCGAAGCTCTGCCGGACCCACCTGGCCCGGCCTCGGTCGCTGCCCTTGCGCCGCGGCAACCGCCCGTACCGCCGTCGATGAGGGCTCACGCAGTTGGCCTCGGGTCGGTGGATGGATGCTTCAGCTAGCTTCCCAAAAGATACGAAGTACAGCATATGGATCAGATGCCTTGGTTCTCCAAAGGCCACGTCCACTGGAGGAATGGTGGCAGACGGATAAGTTTGAGCACCTTGACCAAGTCAAATAGCAAAGGAACCAAATTAAGTTGAGGAACTCACCGGCCGGAGGTCTATACCAAAGGCTTGGAGCATTAGTTTGAGAAATCAATAGTTGGAGTACTTTTGACCAAAGTCAAAATCGATGGAAGGGAGCAAATCTGGCTCTAGAATCCCTCCTGACTGAAGCTTTATCTCCAAAGCTAAGTACATATACGCATTCTTAAGTTGATGCATTAATAGTTAATTGTTTAAAATATTAGTATTGCTAGTATTTTTACCACCATTATTTATTATGGGATTAAAATATCCCAGAATTAAATAGTGTGAGCGATGCTCTAAGTGATAATTAATTTCACCGTCATTTTAATTAATGATGGGTTGTGGTGGGCCCGTTGGCCCGCTCCTGATCGGCTTAAATTAGCAGGCGGAGAATACCGGAATGGCTTTTGATAGGAAAGTATCATTACCATTACCCGTTACGGCACTATTATTCATTAGGGATAAAAATGTCCCGAATTAAATAATGTGGAGCGAAGCTCTGGTGATGTTTGGTTCAGCCAACATTTTATTGAATATTTAATTTCTTGTGGGCCTATTGGCCCACCCTCGATCAGCTTGATCAAGTGATCCGAGCGTCTCCAGAAGGGCGATGCCCCGACGACGCGTTTGAATTTGAGGGTTGCGCATTAGTCCGCACGGCACTACGTGCCCGATCGACGATCGTACCCCAGTGTCATTTACGCCATTAGGCGTGAAATGATTATTGCCAAACGTGGCCTGTGGGGCCCGAAGGCACCAAAGCACCCAATCTCCTTTTTCTGAGGGCAGTGCGACCAACTTGGGTCTGAGTTTGAAAACTCACAGACCGATGAATATTTCTATGTGACGTCCGGCGGGCTGCTAATTGGCCCCGCCGCGAGCTGCTACGTCCGTTAACCCCGCACGATGAGCCGGGCCGAGGGTCACGACGGCCCATAGGTCGGCAATCGTGGATGTTAAAGAGGAAGCCATGCAGATGGTTATGTGTGCATATTTATTGTTGGGCCATGTGGCCGTTACCATGCTTATTGCGCAGCTGAAATCACTCGACGCGCTCGAGTGAAATGATTAAAAGACGCTCGGCCCGAGTCTTGAAGACGTTCAGGGCCAGCTAAAGAGGAGACCATCACGGCGGAGGACCGTGAGACGAGCATCTCCACCCCAGAGACCGATGGCCTAGGAGAGAACACCTAGAGGCCGAGGGTCTATAGTGGACTACCACGGCGGAGGACCGTGAGACGACCATCTCCACCCCAGAGACCGATGGCCTAGGAGAGAACACCTAGAGGCCGAGGACTATAGTGGACTACCACGGCGGAGGACCGTGAGACGATCATCCATCATTCAGAGGCCGAGGGCCTAGAGGAGACCATCACGGCCGAGGGCCGTGAGACCATCCTGATTTTCAGGTCGGCCTCTCATCGCCGACATTATCATACCACGACCGGCCCCTCGGCTCGGCGTGTTCATCTTTTGAAGACCGACCTCATCCCCGCACTGCGCCGATGAGAGCCGTTGCTGGATTGCAGGTCGACCCTCATTGCCGACACTGCCACATCATGTTCGGCCTCTCATCGCCGACATCATTATATCACAACCGGCCTCTCGGACCGGCGTGATTACCATATTCGAAGACCGGCCTCGTCCCCGCCACCTCGCGGACGAGGACCGTTGCTTGACCATATCTTGATCGGCATCTCATTGCCGACATTATCATACCACGACCGGCCCCTCGGCTCGGCGTGTTCATATTTGAAGACCGGCCTCGTCCCCGCACTGCGCGGATGAGGACCGTGCCTGTTTTTCTCAGATCGGCCGCTCATTGCCGGCACCATTATACCACGACCGGCCTCTCGGCTCGGCGTGCTCATCTTTTGAAGACCGGCCTCGTCCCCGCCCTCGCGGACGAGGGCCGTTGCTTGATTTTCTCAGATCGGCCGCTCATTACCGACACCATTATACCACGACCGGCCTCTCGGCTCGGCGTGCTTATCTCTTGAAGACCGGCCTCGTCCCCGCCACCCCGCGGACGAGGACCGTTGTTTGATTCTTTCGGGTCGGCCTCTCACTGCCGACACTATCGTGTTATGTTCGGCCTCTCGGCACGACATATTTACCTTTTGAAGACCGGTTTCATCCCCGCGCTGCGTTGGATGAGAGCCGTTGCTCGGATATATCGGCCTGACTGGACACTATTGCCATCTCCGTTATCAAGACCGACTGCTCAGCGATATTATGATCATTGTATATCGGCTCCCAATGCCGACCTTCTTGAGTCAGCGATCGGGCTCACCCCTCCCCTCCAGGAGGGTGACCATCGCCTTCGCATGACGACCAGCTATTCCGTCGCCTCGTCATTCTATTCGTTTTGGTATGCCACCACCATTATGTGTGACATCCCGTGATCCCTGCGAGTTTCTTGGATACCGAATGTCTTCTTCGATGTAGGAAGATCGGTAGGACCACGGACCAGGGACGGACGAACGAAGCACCAGGGAATCTCGATGCAGATAAACCTGTTCCTCCTTGCGATGTCTGCGGATACCGAACGTCTCCTCGAAGTAAGGACGCCGGTAGGACCAAGGACCAGGGACGAACGAAGCACCAGGGAATCTCGATGCAGATAAACCTGTTCCTCCTTGCGATGTCTGCGGATACCGAACGTCTCCTCGAAGTAAGGACGCCGGTAGGACCAAGGACCAGGGATGAACGAAGCACCAGGGAATCTCGATGCAGATAAACCTGTTCCTCATTGAGATGTCTGCGGATACCGAACGTCTCCTCGAAGTAGGAACGCCGGTAGGACCAAGGACCAATGACGAACGAAGAGTATAGATTGCCTCCCTCAAACAAAAAAAAAAAAAAAAAAAAAAAAAATATGGGGAGAAGAGGAGGGTAGCTCCTATGTGGAAGGGAATCTTGCCCGGGTGTGCCAGATCTTCTCCCACCGCCGAAGACGAACGCCTCTCGATGTAGAGGTTAGTAGAGACGCGGAGGGGGCTAGACGAACCAAGGGAGCCTTGCCAAGATAAACCTGTTCATCCCACAATGACCATGGATCGATGGACGTGGGATAACAAAGACGGGAACCCGTGAGGGTAAACCAGTTCGTCCCTGCGAGTTCCTTGGGTACCGAACGTCTTCTTCGATGCAAGAGACGCCGGTAAGGCTAAAAGGACCAGGGACGAACGAAAAAGGGGGAATCTCGATGTAGATATACCTGTTCCTCATTGCGATGTCCGCGGATACCGAACGTATCTTCGATGTAAGAACGCCGGTAGGACCAAGGACCAATGACGAACGAAGACTAAAAGACTCCAAAAAAAAAAAAAAAAAAAAAGGATGCCAGAAGAGCACGGAGCAAAGAATGATTTTATCCCTTGGCACTATTGGCTGTGAAGTACAAACTGAAAAACATATGTAAAGAATAATTACAAGACTTAAGTACGAAGAATGAAGTGGCCGACGACGATCGGCTAACATCAGGTTTTCCTTTGCCTCGAACGACGATTAGCTCCCCAGATCAAGTAGAAGGGACATCGCCCAGATTTATTTCAGGCTCACCATTCCCTCCCGGATGGAGTCCTGGCAGACGATCGGCTTCTCACAGCCAATCAGGGGAGATACTTGACACATCACCAGCACGGCCGAGGGCCGTGAGACGATTACCACTCACCGACAGGCCGAGGGCCATGAGATGATCATCACTAGTTTTCTGTATCACGATCGGCCCCTCAGCGCCATCGTGTCCAGACTCACGGTTCGTCTTGCCCATTCCCTCCAGGATGGCGACGACCGTCTTATGCAGTACGATCGGCCCCTCAGCGCCATCGTACCCAGCTCACGTTTAGCTCGTCCATCCCTTCCAGGGTGGCGACGAACGTCTTATGCATCACGATCGGCCCCTCAGCGCCATCGTGTCTCTTTCACGTTCGGATCGCCCTATTCCCTCCAGGATGGCGACGAACGTCTTATGCAGTACGATCGGCCCCTCAGCGCCATCGTACCTGGCTTCACGGTTCGGCTCGCCCATTCCCTCCAGGATGGCGACGACCGTCTTATGTAGCACGATCGGCCCCTCAGCGCCATCGTGTCTCTTTCACGTTCGGATCGCCCTATTCCCTCCAGGATGGCGACGAACGTCTTATGCAGTACGATCGGCCCCTCAGCGCCATCGTACCTGGCTTCACGGTTCGGATCGCCCCATTCCCTCCAGGATGGCGACGACCGTCTTATGTAGCACGATCGGCTTCTCAGCGCCCTCGTGTCTCTTTCACGTTCGGATCGCCCCATTCCCTCCAGGATGGCGACGAACGTCTTATGCAGTACGATCGGCCCCTCAGCGCCATCGTACCTTTCTTCACGGTTCGGCTCGCCCACTCCCTCCAGGATGGCGACGACCGTCTTATGTAGCACGATCGGCCCCTCAGCGCCATCGTGTCTCTTTCACGTTCGGATCGCCCTATTCCCTCCAGGATGGCGACGAACGTCTTATGCAGTACGATCGGCCCCTCAGCGCCATCGTACCTGGCTTCACGGTTCGGCTCGCCCATTCCCTCCAGGATGGCGACGACCGTCTTATGCAGTGCGATCGGCCCCTCAGCGCCATCGTACCTGGCTTCACGTTAGGGTCGCCCATCCCTTTCAGGATGGCGACGAACGTCTCTTATGCAGCACGATCAGCGCCCCAGCGTCATCGTGTCGGGCTCACGTTAGGGTCGCCCATCCCTTCCAGGATGGCGACGAACGTCTCTTATGCAGCACGATCAGCGCCCCAGCGCCATCGTGTCTGGCTCACGTTAGGGTCGCCCATCCCTTTCAGGATGGCGACGAACGTCTCTTATGCAGCACGATCAGCGCCCCAGCGTCATCGTGTCTGGCTCACGTTAGGGTCGCCCATCCCTTCCAGGATGGCGACGAACGTCTCTTATGCAGCACGATCAGCGCCCGAGCGCCATCGTGTCTGGCTCACGTTAGGGTCGCCCATCCCTTTCAGGATGGCGACGAACGTCTCTTATGCAGCACGATCAGCGCCCGAGCGCCATCGTGTCTGGCTCACGTTAGGGTCGCCCATCCCTTTCAGGATGGCGACGAACGTCTCTTATGCAGCATGTCTGCCTCTCGGCGCTGACATGCTCGAGTTCTCATTGAGAGCTACCGCTCCTATCACATCTTGCATTCCCTCTCTCATACATTGCACCCATACATTACATGCATTCATGCATCATACCTCATACATTCATACATACACACGTGCATCATGTTTTGACAGTACCGCGACGTCGGTTTATAGATGCATGGACCTCTAAGCTTCTCCGTTGGAAAGCTCGAGTCAGGGTCCTTTACTCTCGCCTGATGCATTCAGGGGGAGCGTGCCCGTGGAGGAGCACCCTTCGCCCAACCCCGTCGGGAACGGGGGTGCCTCACTGGTAGATTATGTTCAGGAGTGCAGACACTCACCCATATATTATGATTATGCGAAGACACAGTTTCCAGCAAGACAGAGGAAGAGCGCAGGCAGAGTATATTTTCTCGAGCAGATTCGCGAGCTCACTACTCAAGAAACTGGGGGACTTGTGTTGGGATATATTATCCCGGCCTATTACTGTTCAGGAGCCCAGGACATCATCCAGTACGGAGCCCGAGCAGCTAGGCCCATTTCGGCCCATTAGGCCCAATATTGGCCCGTTCGGCCCATTAGGGTGGAGAGCACCCTTCCCCTTTCCCCTATAAATATGAGGCTTCCCTCCATGTTTTGGGGATCCTCTTTTAGCTTCATCTCCTTCCTTTCTTTTAGACTTAGCTCAATACTCCATTAATGGGAACTTGTACAATGTAATTGTGAGGAGAGTCCTAATGAGAAAGAGAGGGCTTGGACATTAGCCTAAAAAGTCCCGTGGTTTTCTCCCTTTCGGGTTTCCACGTAAAAACTGAGTTGTTCATACACATTTATACATATATTTACTATATCGTGTTGGATTAAACTCAACACACTGTCATTACATTTTCGTCGAAATAAAATATTGATTGATAAATGGCGAAAGAATCGCCATTTGAAAAAATCCACCAAGATCACTTCCAACTCAAGATGTCTCAAAAGGGGTGAACTTAAGTGTGGATTGTTATCACTTAAGCTACTATCATTCATCCCAGTGGCAGATCTTGCAACTAATTGTTGGGTGTTCAAAATTACTTTATCATTAAGATGTCATCTAATAGCACAATATATAAATTATTGAATCAATTCTATACATGTATTTTACACTTATTTTTCAAAATTTTGGGTGTTCACATTAACACCCCTGAATGAAGAAGTCCGCCCCTAATTCATCCAATGTGAATTGTTATATAAATATAGCATAACAGGCCATAGAATACATACAAGTGTAAGGACATTTGAGTTAATTAAATAAGGTCAGATATGTTATACGTACGTAAAAAGCAGTGACAACTCCAGCAGAATCTTGAGGCGGTACCTTCATCCTCATTTCAAAAAAACCCGATCCATAGAAGGACTTCGACCCAAAGCGTGATCCTTAGATCGATAATGTAATTTGGATGTAAATAATCAATTAATCTATAATAATATTTAATTACTTTTTCTGATATGTTAATATGTGATCAATTGATGTGTGTGTATATATATAGGGAGCGGTTCCGGTAAGAACGCATCTTAGGAGAAAAATGAGAACGAATCTGGACCGTTGGATTGAATTATGTGGAACTGAATTGTGCATTTGATGAAACCGAAATGTGCATTAGATGATATTGAAATGTGCATAATAAAAATTTAAACTCACATGTGCATTAAGTGAAACTGAGATGTGCAGAATAAAAGGTACTAAAATAACATCACATCGTACTTTTTATTCTTCACATTTTAGTTTCATTTAGTACACATTTCAAATCCACACGGTGATCACCTCTCTGAGTATCGAGGACGTGTCGGGTGACCAAAAACGCATGAGGCTTTAGGAGGAGCGAGAACAAGATCCAAACGGTGATCACATGGCTCTTGACAAGTCAAAAAAAGGGGGAGGCGGTGGGTCCCGGTCTCCAGTCCCGCCGGAATTTCTGAAGTAGACTTATTGTTGGTCACGAGTGTGGATGGTTCTCGTGTTAAGTTCTTGAGGACGGAACAGAAGGTTAATTTTACTATCTTTATTGTTGCTTTTTTTCTTGATCAGACTGTTTACACTTTCGCTTTTGATTTCAATTTTTGTAAGACTCTTGCATTAGGATTAGGTGATGGGAGGTCGATCTGCTTTGACCGTCTTTGGTCATTTATGCTCATTATAAGATCAACGGGGCATATAGTTTCTTTGAAGATGATTGACTCTAGGCCAGGTCTGGTTCAAGGGTTGTCGGTTGGTTGTGGTAGGACTACGTAGTACATCTTTTTGGAAATATCCAAGCAGATAGACTACCATGTAGTATATTTTATATGGAATACCTCTTTTATTTAGGATTACAATTATTTTTCTTTCAAAATAGGAATCATTATTGACTCTTATATATTGTGTGTGTGTGTATTTTGACTTTTATTCTTTAAATAGACTTGGACAAATTTTACTACGTATTTGAGTAATAAATCATACTTAATCTCATTTTTAACTTTGTCTATTTTTTTAAAAGCTTTTTGTTAAGAAAATAAAATGAGAAGTAAGATGAAAGAATAATTAGTAAATGACCAGAGTTTTGATCCAATGAAAGCTGAACTTGCATTCCGTGGTTGAAGGACGTGACATGATCGTTTCCCCATTCAACCGAGTAGTTATCATCAAACGGGACATCGTCGGCGGCGCTGATAGTCACCGCCACTGCCACCGCCACCGCCAACCCACTGATGAACAGCTTTACCATCATCTCCCGTCAACTCAGGCACTTACGTATATATAACGTATATTTATAATATTATATACGGAGTACTATAATACAGCTTTAAGGACATACAACATACGATAGTATTAGCTATATATATATATATACTAGCTAGCTAGCTAGTCAGCTAGCTTGTCGTATACATATATATCTACTTATGTGTATAGATAGTATATATGGCTAGCTATATCCTTTATGTATAAAAACTATATATATATATATACTAGCTAGCTAGCTAGGCAGCTAGCTTGTCGTATACATATATATCTACTTATGTGTATAGATAGTATATATGGCTAGCTATATCCTTTATGTATAAAAACTATATATATATATATATATATATATATATATATATATATATATATATAGCATGTATGGCTAGCTAGCTGTTTATGTGTGTATAGTAGATAAGCTTGTATACATGATAAGGGACGAATAATTATACAAATTCTAGGCTTTTACGTTTCCTTAATCTTAATAATCAATTAATGTTGAATTTTAAGGGGGAATAATTATACAAATTCTAGGCTCTTACGGTCTTTTAGGTGGTTGTTTGAATGTAATTATTTATAAATATATACTTATATTATATAATGTATATAATGAAGTAACATTTTAATGGTATGATACATATTACAATGAAGTATATAGGATTAAATTTGTGTGATAAAGTATTGTTAATTTTGAGCAATTAATGTTCAAGATTTAAGAATTTTGACACAAAAGTCAAATTGAGACTCTAATTGAGAAATGGAGGAAATACTAATCAATTCTAGGCATCATGTATATATATGTACTAAGTACTAACTCCTTCCGGGGTTTTACCCCAGGGGGGTCGATCAGGGGGAGGGGGTTGGGGGAGCATGGAGTTAACAGGGCCGAAACTCCTTCTATGAGTTTCGAATACGAAATCACCCACATGGCAGAATGAGTCGGCGATCAGTTGAGATTGACCGCTTCCTCATATCAATTCCTTTCGTTCTTAAAGACTTAAACATTCTTTAATTAGTTAAAAAGATATTTTGTCGTAGGTGGAGTGATTCTGTGGTTTCTAGCTAGCTTCCCAAGAGGTAGAAGCTAGCTCTTCATGTACGTGTTTTTTTTTTGAAACAAAAATAGCTTTATTGAAAATGAAATGAAAGAAATTAAAAGAACGAAAAAGAAAAAGAAAAAATGCAAAAAAAGAAATAGCTAAAACCCGAACAAAAGAATAGTGAAACCCCCCATCCCATCCCACCCCCCACCCTGCAGCGTAGCAAACTAAGGCCTTGAGTCAACTTTTCAAAACTCCACTCGTGTTTGAGACCTAGTTCTCATCAGATGTGATCGTTGATTTTTCATTGTACATGTACGTGTATTAGTGTATAATCTCTGTGCAGCGCTAAGTTGAATTAGGGATTAAGAAGGGAGAATGATGAGACAATATAGATGGAGTCTGATTTTCTCATCATTCGAGATTAATTATAATAATTGATGACATTAGGTATATGGTTTCTAGTTTCATTAATTATTATCATTTTTTCTTATGTTGAGCGGTTAGTGAATCAGGTGTCCTATGTTTTAGCTTGAACATATGTTATTATGGATGCTTTTAATTGAACTACTTTGAGTCTCAGATCAGATTTAAATAGATCAATCATGTATGTCCGTACAATGCTAATGAAGAGTGAGAATAGGAGTATAGGACAGTGTCGATATGGAGTCTGATGCTTCGCAGGTGGTGTCGGGTATTGACGATGGAATTAATTTCTCATCACTCGGGGTTACGATGTCGATTGTAGAGATATGATTTGTAGTTTCACTAATGTCAATTTTCCTCATCTTGAGCGATCAATGTATCAATTGTTCAGAAATTGAGTGGTGATAATACGATTTATGGGAAGAAAAAAATCAACCTACTAAAGTCTTGTTAAAGTGATAGATGTGATAAAGGATTAGAACCCGCAAACGGCTGTGTAGATGTCACAACTCTTATGTATTGAACTATATACCTCCGCTACACATGAGTCTATATATATCCCAGAGATCATTTTGGTGAGAGACTTGTTGAAATATTTGTGTCACACCGGAAAGCTATAAAACACTACATAAAACATTGGACTACTCTCTTATCATGTCAGTTCTTAACCAGACTTAAAAAGGGTAATGTCGTAGTGATGCTTTTGATTTATGGGAGGGACGGATGGAGCATGTCCGATCCCATTCTCCCGCACGGAAACGAATGCTACCTTAAGCATGCGTGTTATGAATATCCATCCATAACTGTTGCTTACGTATAGGGCAACTAGCCCTTTCGTGTTAAAAACAAAAATCATTTAAAGCACACCATACCTGGCCTTTATGCGTTTTTCATGACTAACCGATAACTATACAACTAATACACGCAATTCAATTAAAATGATCAACATATGATTAATTAAAATCATCAACTAATTTATGTACCGATTTTAATTTAAGTTTTAATTCTTATAGGAAAAGGTCGGTCAACTTTTTCGTTATGATATACTATCGTACGTAGTATCTCAACAGTCTCAATGGGAGTATGGCCGTATGGGACTATATATCAATTCAGGCTGGTGGTAAACAAAGAATTAAAAACATAATGATAAAGAAGTAAATGAGACAAACTAACGTGTCTTTTTATGATAAAAGAAATAATTCACATATAAGATGTTTGGTCTTTAAATAAATTACTAAATGGATATAGTTTTTTTTAAAGGTAAATGGGTATAGTTGATTGTAAATAGATTTGAATAGTCCTAACTATAAAACGACATTCACAATTAACTATCCATTTAGTAATCTATTTAAAGACCAAATAACTTATGATTTATTTTACACATATATGTGTATGCATATGTATATTTATTTACCCTTTGTTGGGATGACACCGATTAAAAAAATGTATATTTATTTACTCTCTCCTCATCATTTTAGTTGTCTCAGTTTCCTTTTTGGACGTATCAAATTAATTGTCTCATTTTTCTTTTTGGAAAGAAACTCAGCCAAAAAGCAGTTATTGTATTGCTACAGTACAAAAAACTTCTTACTTTTCATAAAGTCTACAATAATTATCTTAAATTACGTGAAAAAGGTCTGGACAACTAAAGTGATACGGAGGGAGTGTAGAATAACTTTAAAAATATATGTGTGCGCGCATGCATATACATATATATATATATATACATATATATACATATACATATATATATACATATATATATATACATATATATATATAGAGGAAACTTCATGTCAGGCCGGCCTGACGGGCTGCCCCGTCCGGCCAAGCCCGTTTGGGCACCTTCCCGGTGGAATTTTTTGATGAAATTTTTTGAGCATGTTCCTCATCAAGTCTAGTTTGTCCATACCAAATTTCAGCTCAAAATTCGATCGGGAAGGTCGTCAAATGATTTTTTCAAGTTAACTGGTCCGGAATATGTATTTTCCAGACCAGTTAACTTGCAAAAATCATTTGACGACCTTCCCGATCGAATTTTGAGCTGAAATTTGGTATGGACAAACTAGACTTGACGAGGAACATGCTCAAAAAATTTCATCGAAAAATTCCACCGGGAAGGTGCCCAAACGGGCTCGGCCGGACGGGGCAGCCCGTCAGGCCGGCCTGACATGAAGAGCACTCTATATATATATATATATATATATATATATATATATATATATATATATTTGGCGGTTTGGCTGGTAGGTCATGTAAATGATGTGTATTCTCATTAATAAAAGTTAACGATCACATCAGTATATAAACTACAAGAGTTAGAGTTGAAGTATAACTCATGTGCAGATAAGTTTACAACTATATACACTACAAAAAAACTCGTGATTGACAAAGATTTTTGGCAGGAATTTTCCAAAATTGGCAGGGATTTTGGCACGCGCGCCAAATCCGTGCCAAAACAGTTTGACACGAGCTATTTGTCACGAATTTTTCGGTAAATCCGTTCCAAATCCGTGTCAATCCCGTCATTTTTTTGTAGTGATATACACAAATTGTTAAACTACATATACATGATTAAATTAATAACAAACTAATAAATAATACTAATGACTGGTCTTATCTTTGATATTCTCCGCAAAATTGGAGATCCATTGGAGACTCCGATTTTGGACCTAAAATGAAGAAAAGCAGTCTGTCCCAAAGGTTTAGTGAGAGCATATGCACATTGATATTTGGACAAGACGTGATGAACTGATGAGCCGCCATCCATAAGACCATAACTACATCACCAACAAAGAAATATGTTTCATACGAGAGTGAAATAACAAGGGATTGTTACACACATAAGTGGCACTCAAGTTATCAGTAAATAGCCGGGTCAGTGAAGTAGTAAAAATGACAGCCAGTGTGTTTTATGTGTATATATTGGCGCAATATTTTTATATTAATTTACTTAACTCGCTTAGTTTCTTGATGGAATTTTAAGCTGAAATTTTGTGAACATATTCTATACTTCATGAAAAACATGTTCACTGGATATGATCATTCATCTAGGTGGGGCATGAAAACGGGGCAAGGTGTGCTGATGGGGCATGGCTGTTGCGTTTGCGGATCAGCAGGGGCCAAAATTCGCCGACAAATTGGATTGAACTATTGGGGATGGCATGACTGCTGCCCGCTACAACACCTAGGACAAGAGAGGAGAACACGCTTACTCGCGTATGTTGCTGGAAGAATTGGAGCGGGGACAACTATGGAGAACATGAGAAGTAGCAAGGTTGGAATCTTTTGCAGTAGCAAAGGGGTGAGGGGTAGAGTTGGGATAAGGAGAGAAGTTAGGTTAAGATTATCCTTAAAATTGAAGATATTTACAAAAGAATCTAGAAGCTATTAAAAGCACCCTAACACGTGATTTGAACTTCTAGCGTAAAAATGCTTTAAATTAAGCTGAAATTTGGATTTACAAACATCCTTTCAAGCTTAATTCAAAAATATATGAAAAAAAATTTCCAAGTGCTTTTGAGTAGCGATTGCAAACACTCCTTAAGTGTGATAAGAAGTTGAACTGACTATGGCCAAGTACATTTGGAACACTAAAACACCTGAGAAAATCCCCTTTCTCATGTGAATTATGAAAAATAAACTCCTCTCTATTGAAAACAAACTTTGAGAACACTGTTAATCATTGTTTCATGAACTGTACTTCTAGCTCTTCCATATGACAAAACTTTGAGAACTTGAACTGTACTAACAGTTCTTGGTGGGCTAGTATACGACTATACGGGCTACCAAGCTAATGTTAAGGATTTTAAAAATATTGTTCCAAAGCTCATTCAGTCATTTACTTGCAGATTTGGAAGGCTAGAAATAGTTATATTCATGATGATAAGTGTGACTCTAAAAGTCTAAAACTGAGGCTATTGGTGCCATCACTAGGGGTGAGCATGAGACGATATGAGACGATTATTTCAAAAAAAATTGTCTCACCCCAAAGTACGGTTATTTTAAAAATCAAAGAACCGATACAATCCCTAATATATATAGCATCTATCCCGTTCCATACTAATTTTCAGAACAGTTCGGTACAATTCCTCAGTACTATTCGATTTCTAAATAATTAACTTCCACAAAATAAAAAATATTTTAGGTTTTAGCATTTATAAGCAACTATACAGAAAACTAAAAAAAAAAATTGCAGGATTGAAGAGTCTACATTAAACTAATCTTGTGCAATCAAACCTAACTAAAATACAAAACTAATAGTCAAGATGTAATAAAATTACAATTATAGTCTTCTGAAGGATGCAAAGCAACCAAATTGCTGAACAAGTTACTAAATTGGGTTTACATGTTTCGTATCATAGTTATTAGGGAAAAGGGGCAAATAAGCCCATCTACTAACAAAAAAAGGTCAAATAAGCCCTTATATAGGAGGGTCCGGCCGTCACCATTTGGGACAGTTCCCGGTGTAATTTTTGATGAAATTTTTTGAGCATCTTATTAATTAAATCTAGTTTACTCATACCAAATTTCAGCTAACAATTCAATCGGAAAGGCATTCAAATGAATTCATGAAAATAACTGTGCTTTTAACGACGCAGTTATCTTCAAGAATTCATTTGAATGCCTCCCCGATTGAAGTTTTAGCTGAAATTTAGTATGAGTAAACTAGACTTAATGAATAATATGCTCAAAAAATTTCATCAAAAAGTTCCACCAGGAACCACCCCAAATGGCGATGGCCGGACATAGCCTCCTAAATAAGGACTTATTTGATCTTTTTTTGTTAATACGTGAGCTTATTTGCTCCGTCAGTGTAAGGGCTTATTATCAATGTATCATGTACATTGATACACGGCCCCTTTTCTCTAGTTATTACTAGTATTATTTATAAAATTTACTCCATAGTACGCTAATTAATTGTATTGAGGGCCCAAAGAGTGCATTATACAATCTATAACAAAGTTTTGAGTAACCACAATACAAATTATTGGCTAATATAATAAATAATATAATATATACAGTATATATATTATCTTGTATAACCAATTTTTTGGGACGTGACGGTTCGGTTCAATACAGTTTGGGAGTTGGGACGATTGTAGGGTGACTCTCACTTAAGAACACATAATTAAAAGAAACGATACGGTCCAATATTATATTTTTCCAATTCGTTTGGTTGTGGTAGAGTCCGGGATGGTTCTCAATACACAACAGGAAATCCAGATCCATGCTCAGCCCTAGCCATTACTAAGAAGGTTTTCTATATTTCTGTTGTCAATCCCATTACTTGTAATAATGATGAGATCGCTCTCCTTAATGTATGCACCATTTCTAAGAAGCGCATTTCAAGAAAGGCATTTGTACTAAACCTCCCGTCAAGTATCCTCATTCGGGACTCCAAAGGTTCTTACATTGCCCAGATGAGTATATGACAGAAGTCACAGAACATTGTTTATACGAGATATCACACTCAACCTCTACAGTTCTCTTTATGAATTTTTCAATCTCTCAATGGTTACTAAATTTTCATAGGTTGTTATTGAAACTGAAAACCAACATATCCAACAAGCTCACCAGGACACACACACACATCATTGAAAGTATTGGAACAAAACCAACAAATGAGATCTCAAATTCGTCAATACAGTTGGCACATCAGCATCAACATGAAAAAGTATAAGAGAGTAGGCATGGACCCGGTTCGGGCCGCCCGGCCCGGGACCGGCCCGGCCCGCCACTGTGCGGGCCCGGAACCAGCCCGGTTCTCGGGTCCGGGTCGGGCCTAGGCCCGGTGGGGAGGGCGGGTCCGGGCTCGGGCCTTGTATTTGGCGAACCGGCCCGGCCGGGTCGGGCCCGGGCCGAATTGATTTTTTTTTTTCATTTTTTGGGGTTAGTTGGGTTGGGCTTGATGGTTAGGAGGGGTTTGGGGGTTTGGGGGTGGGGGGGTGAGTGGGGGGTTAGGAAAGCAAAAAAAAAAAAAAAAAAAAAAAAAAAAAAAAAAAAAAGACTGAACCGGAGGCCCGGCCCGGCCCGGACCCGGTGGCTACTCGGGCCGGTCCCGGGCCTTCCTTCCCAAAAAAAAAAGCCCGGCCGGGCCCGGCCCGGGTCCATGACTGTAAGAGAGCAGTGGAATATGTGGCCTACAAAAACATCTCTATTATATTAGATATAACCCCACTCACCAGTCATGGATATCCTTAAATTTGACACTATTAAGAATTAACTACAGGTTTATTGCCTTTAATCGATAGGTTTCAGCTATAATCCCCCTACTATGTAATATTTCTTTCTATTAATAAACTGGTAGAATGTTCCCCAGCTTCTACTCCAACTGTAGGATTGGATTCTTCTGAGCTAAAAACAACAACTGACAAGCATTGCAATATTGGATAACTAAACCTCATCAAAACCTAGAAAGGCCAGAAGGTAGACCACATACTCAATCCATAGCAGACTGTTGCAAGGGCTCAACTCCCTACCCACAACAAAAAGAAAAAAAAAAGTGTTTGGTACATCAACATTCAAGCCAAAAAGAGAAGAAAGATAAGAAAAAAAAGATAAGATGAAATGGATAAGATAAAAATAAAGATAGAAAATGATATTAAAAAAAACATGAGAAAGATAAAAGATAAAAATAACATAAGAACATAGAAAATAAAGAAGATAAAATATACGTAGTAAAAGAAAACGAGAGAGAGAAAAGAGATCAATGGTTCACATGAATATGCGCCAACCACTTTGCTTTGTTGGGTGTTAGAGTTTAAATCACTACTAGGACAGGTTTCGTTTATGCATGAACTGCACTATCTTATCAACGTCTTCTGGGGCATCAACCCCATGTGCCTCATGATCAACTCTAATCACCTGCATATAAGACATGAGTGTAACCATATCATCAATGCCATTACACACTATAATTGTCCAATTTAAGAGAATGAATAAGAGCCTATTTTGTCTTAACCATTTTCATTGCACTAGCACAATCAGATCATCATCATCATTACCCCAGTGCCGCAAGGGCTCCCACCTTCGGTGGGGTAAGGGGAGTCAGATGTACGCAGTCTTACCCTTTTACTAAAGGGTAAAGAGACGGTTTCCGAATGACCCATAGACTAGCACAATCAGATGCTAACAAAAAATTGCATTGCATGTGTTACTTGTTTTTTTAGCTAAAATGACAACAATCAGATGAGCTCATTGCACTTGCGTTGTTTTGAGATATCCTTTTCTTTAATTTACTTAAAATATACTCCCTCTGTCCCACAAAATACTTCCCGGTTTGACTTGAAACGGAGTTTAAGAAAGTGGGAATAAAATGGAAATGTATGATAGTGGTTGAGTAAGAAAAAGGTAAATGAATGATAGCCACACAAACCTTTCCAAAAAGGGAAATGGGAAGAAATTTTTGGGACATCCCTAAAAGGTACGTGGGAAGAATTTTCAGGGCCGGAGGGAGTATATATACTTTAAAGTTTTTTCTATAATTCGGCAGATTAAACCAATTCGTCCACAGCTTCTAAAGCCATTTCACTATTTCAACCATTTTAAGTCTTACCAAACATGCACTAAATTAGTTAAACATGCCTTTAGCAAGATGTATCAAACAAGAGACCAATACCTTCATTTTGTATCCATTCTCAAGGACCTTTAATTGTTCAAGGTCTTCTTCTAGTTGCAGAGGAGTTGGTTGCAGTTCTGGATATATTCTGAGGAACTTTGTATCATAGCTCTAAGATCAATAATGTGTGTGGAAAGGAATTATTTACTTAACAGTCTGATACAAAAGCATAATTGATGGTGCAGGAAAATAATTACAACAGGTCAACAGTCCAGTTTGGTCACCTGAATCCCAAGGTGGAGCAAATAAGGGAATTGGGGATTAACCTTGCCGGACCTGAACATAGTTGGAAATCTCAAATTACTTACTATCAGAAATTCGACTCACAACCTGTATCTTGTAAAACAAGAAAATATACTGACTTGTTGAAAGGGATAAGTCCCCTAGAAAAGTAGATTGCATAACCACGACCATCAACTACACATTTCACACGGTTTGAATCAAATGCATCCTCTGGCTTCAAAGATGTCACAGCTGTGCTAAAAACTGCATCTGGTGCAGCCTGCGTTCATACAAAACTACCGTAATTCAATTTTGGATAAATAAATAAATAAATTTTGATAATATAACTTTCAACTCCACCATGAGATCATTTTTGGTATCTGTCAGTCCAAAGTCAGGATAAAGGAGGAGGGGTGTTGTGGTAGGGGCGTGACGGCCAACAGTATCACCTAGCCATATCACATTACATGAATCGAAATATGAAATATCTTTTTATTTTGGTTTTTTTCTTTTCTTTTTGGCTCCGATATCATGGATCGATTCATGTTAGCCGATCCCAAAATCTGTTAGGACTAATGCTTAGGTTGTTATTGTTGTTGTTTGTTGACCGAGTTTATCCAGGTTTGACCGAGCTGACCCGGCAGGGCCGGGTCGACTGCCAGTCAAGTTTTTAAAACACAGGGAATGGGTTTTGAATTGTGTGTCCATGTTGGATTTGCCTACCTGGCTACCTTACTACCTTCTTTGGAACATGTTATATACTCTGTATACCATATGGTCGGAGGAAGGTTATATTATCATTACTACAACAATAATAACATTCATGCCTTAATCCCAAAAGATTTTGGGGTCGGCTAACATGAATCGATATGCAAAAAAACTGTTAACTGATACTTATCTTTTTTTTATCATACTTGTCATTTTTATCAAAC